CAAGTAGAAAACCGCAACCACAATCGCAGATTTGCGGTTTAACCGCGGTTATCCATGGACAACCGCAAGAAAACCGCACTAGCATAGCTCTCGCCTCATTAACCGATTCCAGCCTATCAGGTGATACTTATACAGTTTTCCAAACTCTTTAACCTAATTTTGAAGATACGCCTCTTCTCGTAAAACAGTACAACGCTATAGATTTTATTGCTCATGCCATCGGTTTATAAGAAATAATTACCTTCTTGTTCAATAAATGGCCGAATATTGATATATAGTCTCTTATCGCTTAACCAGTAAGCGATGGTTGTCTGGAATTTGCGAAAATATATATAGTATAGGGTGAGAACAAAATATACCTTCTACGTGAAATATAAAATATTTCGCAGTTGACGAAATCAAGCTAGTATAGATCTGATTCCTACTGAACAATACAGAATTTTCATTTGTATCTTAACTTATATTAAAACATTTACCCGGAAAGATTCAGAGAAAATCTGGGTTCGATTTCAAATTCCGTGGACTTAGTGAATTTTTCCTGTGTGGATATTCTGCGGTTTTGGTGTGGTTATCTTGCGGTTATCCATTGGATAACCGCACCAAAACCGCACTACCATCGCTCGTCATCCAATTAACATACAGGATGGGTTTTAAACAGGTCAAACCCCTGGTCGCGAGCCGTTTGTCTCCCAAAAAGTTCGGGAAATTTCTGTACATTCCTCTCTTCCACCTTCTCTTGATATCTCTTCCTCACTTCTAGTTTCTAGTCTTTGGAGACTTACTATAATGCCTCAGTCCCAAGTGTCCTTTTACTCTGATTCCTTTATCGATCCCGATCTTCGTCAATCAGATGACCTTCCTGATTTACCAAGCAGCCAATCGACCGAGACTTCTAATTCTTTCACTCCCCTTCCCCAATTGTCATATGCGCCGAAATCACTTGAGCGCGTCGGATCTACACTTCGAAAATTCTGGATTCTCTACGCTAGTGAGCCCGAGATGGAAGACTCCCGGAAGCAGTTTGTGGAATGGTGGTTAAACACTTTGTTTGGATCAAACCCGCAATGCCGCGATAGCTTACACTGGGATGGGAAAAAAACCTCGGTACTTTGGGAACAATTTGAACAGGTTGCAAACGAGAAGACTGGCGAGCCTAGGGTTATGTGTAAGCGGTGTTGTACAACCCTTACTCATCCAGGTCATAAGCGTACAGGGACCTCTGCGCTTAAAGCACATCTGAAAGGAGGTACCTGTCGCTTAGAGGAAAGGAAGCGAGGAATCGACCAATTATTCCGTAATTTAGTAGGTGTTTCATAGCTTCATGAAGAGATAGAGAGAAATCGCTAATGTCATTATGATCTAGCCGCGGGTACCAACAAAAGTCTTCACCAATGATTTTCTCCAGCGAAAAATTCTCAATTTTCTTACCACCGCCCGTCTCCCATTTCGGATCATTGAACACCCTGAGTTCAAAGACCTCCTTGAAGCTGCCCAGCTCTCTGAATCCCGGCTTGATATTCCTTCTGCGCGGACTATCAGACGGCTTTTAGACGACACTGTCCGGGAACAGCAAAAAAATGTGCTTAGTAAACTTCCAAAAGGAAGCCATCTCTCAATTGCACTTGACTGCTGGACATCTCCCTTTTCCCAGGCATTCATGGCAATAACTGGATATTTTCTTGATCAAGAATGGAATTTTTCTGCGAGGTTCTTCTTGGGTTTAAGCATCTCCAAGGATCGCATACCGGTGCCCATCTAAGTCAGAAGGTGATTCAAATACTCCAGGAGCATAATATCAATGATCGGGTATTATCCATTACCACGGATAATGCATCGAATAACAACACCATGATGCTAGGTGTCCAAGAGATGGTTCAATCGCATGTTCTCAGTGAGACGTCTGTCTTCCGGATTCCATGTATTGCGCATGTTATCCAGCTGAGCCTAAAGGATCTACTTGGTAAGATAAAAGCGCATCCAACCAATAAGGAAGCGGAGTCTGAGTGGCCTGATGCACGTATGCAGTCACTACAGACTAACTCCCGGCGGCCAACAAGAGATATTGTGATAACCTTAAAGAAGGTGAGTATATCGCCGCACTCTCTTTATGATGATACTAACAGATTATCGTTAGATTCGAGAGCTCGCTGTCTTTATCAATGCTAGTCCGCAGCGCAGAGAAGCTTTTCTTACTCTTCAGACTACTGAGCCTAAGCTTGTCCCGATCCAGGATGTTCGCACACGCTGGAATTCCACCTTCCTCATGCTCAATCGTGCCAGGGAATTACAATCCGTCTTCGATCGGTACTGCATAGCATATCAACACGTTCAGTTCAAGCTTGATCAAGAGGAATGGCGCCAAGTCGAATATTTGCTTCTGGTCACTAAGCCTTTCTATGATTTTACTAGTGTATTATCAAAGACCAGGGACGTCACTGTTCACCATGTCTTCAGTATCTACAATCGGCTGTTTACCCATCTTGATGACGCTGAGAAGAAACTGAAACGTAAAGCTGTCCCATGGAAAAGGAGAATGCTTCAGGCGCTTCGATCGGCAAAGAGAAAGCTAAAATACTACACTGCAACGGACAATGAGTCATATGGCATAGTCTATGCGATTGCAACTATTCTCTGTCCGTCAAAAAAGCTTCGATATTTTGATAACGCGGATTGGAGGGGGAACAATGGGAACGGGGAGGAAGTCGATTTTACGAAGCATTACCGGGAGGTTCTACAGAAGGAGTTCAAGCGATATCAGCTGCAATTTAGCCAGCAAACAGTACCGACTGATAGCCAAGAAACCGTGGATGCCGCTCAAAATGAGCTTGAGCTATTATGTGAACCAGAGACTGCGCTCCGAGCTGAAGTGGATCAGCGGGAAGATGAGTTGACACGTTATTTGGCCAAAGGCAATTATTCTCCCATTACTTATACCGTGCGAAAGCTAATTTATGCTACAGGGCTCACAAAGGGTCACCCTCGGCTCTTCTGGAAGGAACATGAACACGAGTATCCGATCCTTGCAAAGATTGCACGAGATATCCTCTCAGTTCCTGCGAGCGGTGCTGGTGTCGAGCGACTCTTTAATTGTGCTCGGGATGTCCGTCACTATCGTCGGGGACAGTTGAAGCCAGACACAATAAAAGGCCTAATGCTCCATCTCTTCTCATCCAAGTTTGATCTTGAACAAACCGAACTAGAGATGATCAAAGGTTATTTGTCGGTCGGAGAGGTTGCAATGCTTGATCAGACAAGGAAGTCTGTTCCGCCGCTCAATGAAGTCGAACCGATCAGTGACAACGAAGACGAGGGTTGCGAAGCAGAGAGTACATTTGAGGGTGACACAGATGAATCTGATAATGAGGCAGAAGAAGAGTTATCTGCCACGCACTCCGTAGCTCAAACTAGGCAGATACAGCGGAAGCGGCGTCGAAGTAAGACCTCTGAGGCTCTAGATGATGCTGATAATGGTCTCCCACTTCCGGTGATGCCAATTGAGGAGAAGACGCAGGCTAGGCCAGGAAGGGTTCGGAAGAAACCTAAGCTACCGGAGGGATTTGAGATTGATAAGCTGTAATATTCGAAACTTAAAAAAGAAATCGAAATTTGGTCTAAATATTATATTCCAGAGATTTCATATGAAGAGAAATAGGTAATCCTTTACATACTGGATACGCCAAAATACTACGAAAGGTTCACAATCTATGCAGTCAGAGAAAAACCACAATGTTTAAATATCCATGGATAACCGCAAAGACCGCGGTTTTCCAAAGTGAAAACCACAGCCGCCCGCAGTGCGGTTTGCGGTTTTCAGATCAGGTCCAAAACCGCAAATTTGCGGTTGCGGTTTTGGTTATCCGCGGTTACCTATGGTTTTGCCGCAGCCTAGGTAGTG